ATGCACAGAGCCATTAGGTAGAGTAGGTATCTCTCACCTTCCAGGTTGGGGTCCAAAAGACTCCACAACCGTTTGGTTGGAGACATTGAGGGATACGGCAGCGAACCGGCAGCAGTGGCGTTCTTGTTGTCGTTCCTAATCAGGTCAGAATGCTTTGAAACGATATGTATGTAGAGTTCGATTGTGCACTCTCTGTGTGTTGGCCATAGTGGCTCACCTTCCTCCCTATTCCCTCAAAGTAAGTTCAATCCGTTTTCACCTTAAATTTTTACCACTAACCTTGTATTCATTGCGAGTTGGGCAGCGACCAGTGAAGTTCCCTTCACTGTATTTCGCTGTACGATGATGATGACCGCGGGATCATGGTTACCGATGGTTAGAGTCACTGAGTGATATGGCTGGGTGTCGCAAACAGTGGCGCTCGTGCATCCACTCATTATACTCATATTATTATTCTATATCAATTTTCCATCTTCCGCTTGAATTTGCTTTCGACATTCCAATCTTCATTCTGCTCTCTTATCTAAACGGGGTACTAAAGGGCGGTAACCAAACCGGCGCACGAAAGTGCGTGGTTAATGGTTGTAAAAACTAAAATTGGAAAGCATTTCCTTACACCTCGCGAAATGCTCCAATAGAACCAAGCGTTTTAAATAGACTCTGCTGAGGAGGCCCTACTCACTGCCTTCTCTTGGCGGAGGTGTTTTTCCACCAAAATGAGAGGACGAGAAGCCTACATTTGGGGCTATAACCGGGTTGATGAAGCATTGGCAATGCATCTAGGGGAGTTGGCTAAAAACCCTGATTCCAAACCAACCGAGAAGAGGCGTAAGATACACACGCTTACCTTCCTGGCGGCAGGGGTCACCGGCTCAATTGGGCATCGAGGTGTATTGGGCACCTTGGATATTTGGCCCCGTCCAAAGGGCGTATGATCCAGTGAACTGGACACCGCCCCCCATTGGATTTCGGACTCTGAGCTCTGTCCTGCTGTCTTGCTGGTCTGACTTTATAGCCAACGGCTTCGGATGGGAACCCCGAGGCTATCTCCTTTCGTCGGCCAGGGCAACCGGAAAGTAACATGGCCACACAACCCATGAACACAGTCTTCAAATTTCTTTCTGTTCATTTGTTGTGGCACATTTTCCACTTACAGTATATCCTCGGATCACGGGGTTTGCCCCTTTTACCGTATTCACTTCCATGTAATGAAAAAAGATTAACAAGGAATTCGTTGTCTAGGTCCTTACCTTCCTATTCCCCATTACACACATGTAGGTTGTAATAATAAATAAACCGATTTGTACTCACGACTGTCAACAATTAGACCGACACCTTCGTCAATATAGTGAATTTTCAATGTGATTGCCTGTAAGTGGCAGAAATACTTGACTACACCCGTGAATAGGTTTTATTTCCTATTAAACTGGCTGATCAGTGCCCTCCGAGACACCTAGAGAACTTACTTTTGCATGAGAACGGATCGGCTTCCGTGGATCGAACGTGAGAACTTATTATAGTTCATAAGGGGTTTGTATAGGACCGATAGACCTAACCGTTCTTCACTAACCGGATATTTTCATGCAGTTTGCAAAGGTGGGTCGCTCTGTTTCGAAAGTCCGATGTTACAATTCTCCCGCTAGTCTTAGTGGTAAATAGCTTCTCCGCAGTCCAGTTAAATATGACGACTATCCTATTGCACGTGAAATATGATAATAATACTTATCCTGTTTTGACTTATGTGGCTTTCCACCCCAAGCTCGGTTTCAATTATCAGTCATCAGCCTCACTTAACGACTTGGTTCATCCCCAGTACTCTCTATCACACCTAGGGGTGAAATAAAATGGAACCACCTTTACGTTCTTCTGAACTCTCAAAGTAACCCGCTACCACAACCGCAACTGTGTTGGCGGTACTTCCGCCTCTTCCGGAATAACATGCTACACTGACGGCTTTCTTCACTGCATCTGTGATCTCTCGTCCCACCCCCTGCGCACATCCAAAAGTATGCCGATGACGTTTTATGTCAGACAATTTCATCTTCGGAATTTGATTCTTTCCCTGAAAATCTATCCCACATCCAACAGTCTTCTAATCAATCTGGTCTCAGTCTTAATATATCTAAGTGCGTAGAGTGTATTTTCAGTCTCTCACTCCTCATTTTCAACGAACCCTGCTACCCTTAACTGTAAACCTGTGTCCAATATGACCTCAGTGAAGTACTTGGGAGTCACCATTGACAGCAATCTTCATCGGTCTACACATATTTACAACTGTATGGAAAAACTAAGACGCCTGTCTTTTCAGTTGCGCAAACTCAGGCGATTCCGAACCCCACAGTCAGTCTGGTCCTCTTTCGTTCACCAATGCGTTTTACCCTATTTACTCTATTGCTCCCCTGGAATGTGTTTCCCGGTGTTCCAAAGCAAGACTTCAAAATAATTCAGTCTTGCGTCATTAATCCCGGTCGATTAATCACAGAACTTATTAATGATCACATCAACTCTTATTAAATTTGCCAATAAGATTCTAGTCAACCCTCTTCATCCACTGCACCTCGATCTATCATCTTGTCGTTCCCATTCGTCAATACGCACCTCATTTCGGCATCCACCCTCTCGCATTAACATTTGTAAAATTTCCCTGTGCCCTACCTGGCCCGACTCTTAAACAAACGGGAACAGGTTGCAAATGAATTACATCAGAAATTTTGTACTTGAAACAAACTTCACGGTCATTCTTTACCTTGCATGTTATATAAAACTGCATATTTCATTCCGCGTAACAAACAGTGCACATTTTTAACCGAAATGTAAGCATATAAGCTTACACAACTCATCATCATCATCATAAAGCAAACTTCACTGATCGCTGCCCAACTCGTAATGAATACAAGGTTAGTGGTAAAATTTAGAGTGCACAGGGATTGAACCTATTTCGAAAGAGGTCATCACACAGAGAGTGCACAATCGAACTCTACATACATATCGTTTCAAAGCATTCTGACCTGATTAGGAACGACAACAAGAACGCCAACGTGGGTTAAACTGCGTAAACACCGACAATCGAAAACTCCTGGTCGAAGAATATCTTCTACTCGCAAATTCAGGGTCTCACAACCATAAAGCAGGACTGAACGAACGCTAGCACAGTATACACGACCTTTCAACTTCAGTGAAACGTCGCGTCTACGCCAAAGGTGTTTCAGTCCTGCGTATGCTGCTCGAGCCTTGGAAATGCGGGCGGTTATCTCCTTTGCTGCACTACCGTCATTGGTCACGCAACTACCTAAGTAGGAAAAGTAATCCACCACAACTGAATCCTGGCGATTTAGTGTCAG